CTTTCAGTCCCAGACTGAAAAAAAAAGGAATTTACAGAAGCTGGTTGGATACCAAATAGCACAAGGCCATCTTCTCGTTCTCTAACCAGTATTGTAATTTACACACTTCCGATCTAATGCATTACCCCCCGCCTTCATAGTGTTATAAAAATAATATAGGATCTTATCAGGTTTCTTTGATTCCTCTACTATTTTGTTATCATGCTGCATAGATTGCTATACGAGAACATGTGTATTTGGTTTTGGAAGATACTACTCTAAGGCTGTACAACATAAACTTAGAAGTACCTGGCTGTGTTTCCTTCTTATTTGGAACTACATGTTGGGGTACTTGTTACTTATTTTTACGCTTCCTGCCGACATAGGTCAGTTGGTTGATGCGCAATTCTACATGTAATTCTACTGACGTGAACCAGTCATCTGCTGTGATATTTCTGTTCGTATAGACGAAAGCATTGAGCAGGTAGTGGTGAGTCTTTGCATCATCAGTCCATACTTATTCGGTTTAGTTTTCTTGTAGGCACAGGAAGGACATCGGCCCACGAGCATCTCGTATTTTGTAGGGGACTCACCCGAAATATAACAATTTCGACAGTTCTCTATGAGTGTCTCGAAAATTTCACGTATTTGGAGAAATTTATCGGCATTTCTCGAGTCACAGGGTTATTATTTTCCAAATTGGTTGCCACGGACTTTAGTTCAGGTAAATGCGTAATAATCGACCAGTTGCAGGCGCTCGTTTTGACCAATTGTACATGTTTTTTCCATAGGCATAGCGAGGTCGCCCATAGGAAGTTGTTCAGGTTGATCGATAGCAGCGTCGTCCTCGGCGTAGTCTATAGTGTATTGTTCATCCGTCAACAACGAAAAAATCCATTGTGAAGGAAGTTCAAATCGTACACGCAACTGACATCCTCGGATCAAATTTGACCGCAAAGTCAACAAACCAACAATTGTGATGTTTAAATTAAACTGTGGTTTGAGGTATACGTGCTCATACCGTATGAGAAGTCACGGGACCCCCACCACATAACTGAGAAAGCTCGAATCATCCGACGATATCATTAAAGGATTAATTTCTATATTCTTGAACGAATCTATAAAATCAAAGTGGCTGGGTTTCAATTTACATAGCTCTTTGTATGGTCTTGTTTGCTGATCAACATTATATGATTTCTAGACATGTTCAATCTGTGCAGCTTCTTCACTTTCATATTAATGTCAATAAGAGCATTTCATCCATTTTTGAATAAATGTGGTTCATCACAAATTGTAGAAATACTCTGAGCATTGACTATAAAATGGAATGGACTTGATCCGTGAGTATTCTCCGAGCAAATCGTCTCAAGTGCGTTTTTGATCGTTGCGCCCTGATTAGAAATAGTGCCAACAACGCACAAACCAAGTCGCTGCTAGTTTGTGATCACATGAACAATAATCGTTTTCAGATCTGGGATTCTTGTATCTTTTACTAGATAATAAGCCACAACCTGCTTATAATTTTTACGAATCCCTCTTATCATGGAAGTAAGGGCATGATTTCTGATAAATCACTTTTTCAGAGTTCTAGTTGATTTTGTTACCTCAGAATTCAAGATTTATTAGCTGAAAATTGTACACTGTGAGCACTGGGATCAGCCCTAAACTTTGTCCAAACCCTGCAATAATCGTAAACACTAAACAAGGGTAGACATATTTCTAGTTTAACTGCCTGAAGATTTTCTCTATGGTTTATACGTAACTCTCCACCTATTATCTCATTTTTGTACATGTTCTGGGAGAACTCAACTTGCTCCCTATAAAATGCAACGTCTTCCTGCACAGGTGGTTCTGGTTAAGTGCCAGCCTGCTTCGGGTTTGTAATTAGTTGTTGCAATTTTCTGATTTCGTCGTCCTTTTTCATAATCCAGATTTCGTTTTGGCATTCCAGTTCAGCCATTTGATCCTGAAGCTCTTTTATAGTAGAATCATTATGGCATCGTATATCTGAGATTTTAAATGAGTGGTTGACCTCACGTTGGTTACTCTCGTCCATCAGACTCTTTACGTCATTTCTCAGTTTAGATTCAAGTTCTTTTAGGAAGCCAATTTCATCTTGCAGTTCAGCAATGTGTGACATCGTTACATCAGTTTGTGCAGCAGCACTTAAAGAATGTTGCATATCTTCGTACTCAGCGTCAAGCATAGCTTCTAAGTCTGCAACCTTCTTTTTTGACTCAATATTTTGAGCTTCAAGAGATGGTTTAGGGCTCTCTGATCTTCCTAGGTTCTTCAGTTGAGTACGCAGCATCTCTATTTGACTCGTATGTTTTTAGTCTTTTTATTATTTTTTCCAGAAAATCGAGTCTGTATTGCAAGTCGATGAAATTCTTGCGCTTTTTGAGAATTTTTTTGAACTCTTTCTATTTCTTCGTTGTACGCATCCGTTACTTGGCGGAGTTCCTGACTGTAACGATCGAATTTAGAATTGGCTTCTGTGAGCTGTTTCTTCAGGTCCAAAATCTCCAGCTGATTATCTAGTTTAGTGAATTCTCTAAGCTCATTGAAAGATTCTTCCAGTTCTTTGAGTTGTCTTTTAAGTACACTTGCACGTCTTCAGCTATCACAGATTCTGCTTCGGCTAGTGCCTCCTCATATGTCTCTTCTTGAATAGGCCTCATTTCACGTCCGGATGATTCTTCTTTGGGTGGATAATTTTTCAATGGCATATACCCTAGGGATGCTTTTTTAGGTGATACGTTGCCATAGTGTCCAAAAGTATGACGTCTTAATGTTTTTTTCGGTGTTGATGCCGAGGCTCCCATTTGAAAGCGCCCGACAATAGATACTTCCGTTTTTAGTCTTTCTATCTCGAGCAGATACTCTTGTTTGCTTTTATCCATCTCTTTAGCTTAATTGCCTGCTTTTGAGCCGAGTTTCGAGATCGCGAGTCAAGTTCTGATATCCTTGAAGTGTCTCTTCTGTAGCTGACAAGATGTTTACTTTCGTTTTATTTTTGACAGTTTTTGCTTTGGGCGAATTCTGGTGTAGATCTAGTCTCCTCCTCTGCAGCTAAAGTAACATTCCCGATAATCAATGATTTGGCATTACCGCCAAGAGCCTGTGAGAGCAGTCTAGTCAATTTCGAATCGCGATAACTGATAAACTCCTTCCCTCGCTTAGTTGCCTTATCACATTTCCTAATACTGACAAAGATTTGTTTATGTTAGCCCCCTCTTTAAGACGCTCACCAGCAGCTTTCGTCAGAGAAACTCTCTCAGAACCAGCTAAGTCCATTAAGTTAAGGTAGCTTATATGTACAGGTCCATCTTTCTGATTGGCATCTTTCGACTCCAGAATAATCCGGAAAATCGTGTGTGATCGAGATGACCTCTCATTCATGCGAGTAGCTGCAACTCGTCTGATCTTATTGCCCTGCATCATGTTCTCCATAACTTTATCAACATTGTCTACGACAGCTTCCCTTGCATCAAGCAGCACATTTCCTTTGATATCTTCTCTTATAGTTAAACCCTGATTGCTCTTATCCAGGAGGTCATTGATCTTTTCATTGTAGATTTCAATATAACTGCATCTAATCAAGTACCTCTTATCAACCTGGTCTGCCACATGCTGGAATAACTGATTGGATACTAATTGGAAAAGCCCAGGATCTGTTTTATTGCCCAAAATGGTGTGTGTTTTGCCAGAAGATGTTTGGCCATATGCAAATATTGTGGCATTGAAACCTTCCATGAAGGAATCGACTAAAGGTTTTACTACAGATCCATATACATCTGAATTTGTACATTCCTGCTTAAATACATGGTCGAATATATAAACCTCTCCATGGCGACTACTTTCATCGGCTTCCCATATGCAGTTTACTCTTACGTTCCAAAGACGCTCTAGACCATCGGCTACTTCGCGGTGGATCATTGGTCTGATCTTTGTGGCTACTTTAATATTGTCGGAAGTCATTTTGGAAGCTTGAACTGAAATTTAATTAGAACTAGGGCTATTTCACGGGTTATAAAGAGGGGCACTTTTCATAATCCAGATTTCGTTTTGGCATTCCAGTTCAGCCATTTGATCCTGAAGCTCTTTTATAGTAGAATCATTATGGCATCGTATATCTGAGATTTTAAATGAGTGGTTGACCTCACGTTGGTTACTCTCGTCCATCAGACTCTTTACGTCATTTCTCAGTTTAGATTCAAGTTCTTTTAGGAAGCCAATTTCATCTTGCAGTTCAGCAATGTGTGACATCGTTACATCAGTTTGTGTAGCAGCACTTAAAGAATCTTGCATATCTTCGTACTCAGCGTCAAGCATAGCTTCTAAGTCTGCAACCTTCTTTTTTGACTCAATATTTTGAGCTTCAAGAGATGGTTTAGGGCTCTCTGATCTTCCTAGGTTCTTCAGTTGAGTACGCAGCATCTCTATTTCTGACTCGTATGTTTTTAGTCTTTTTATTATTTTTTTCCAGAAAATCGAGTCTGTATTGCAAGTCGATGAAATTCTTGCGCTTTTTGAGAATTTTTTTGAACTCTTTCTATTTCTTGTACGCATCCGTTACTTGGCGGAGTTCCTGACTGTAACGATCGATTTAGAATTGGCTTCTGTGAGCTGTTTCTTCAGGTCCAAAATCTCCAGCTGATTATCTAGTTTAGTGAATTCTCTAAGCTCATTGAAAGATTCTTCCAGTTCTTTGCGTTGTCTTTTAAGTACACTTGCACGTCTTCTTTGTATGGTCTTGTTTGCTGATCAACATTATATGATTTCTAGACATGTTCAATCTGTGCAGCTTCTTCACTTTCATATTAATGTCAATAAGAGCATTTCATCCATTTTTGAATAAATGTGGTTCATCACAAATTGTAGAAATACTCTGAGCATTGACTATAAAATGGAATGGACTTGATCCGTGAGTATTCTCCGAGCAAATCGTCTCAAGTGCGTTTTTGATCGTTGCGCCCTGATTAGAAATAGTGCCAACAACGCACAAACCAGTCGCTGCTAGTTTGTGATCACATGAACAATATCGTTTTCAGATCTGGGATTCTTGTATCTTTACTAGAAATAAGCCACAACCTGCTTATAATTTTTAAGTAAGGGCATGATTTCTGATAAATCACTTTTTCAGAGTTCTAGTTGATTTTGTTACCTCAGAATTCAAGATTTATTAGCTGAAAATTGTACACTGTGAGCACTGGGATCAGCCCTAAACTTTGTCCAAACCCTGCAATAATCGTAAACACTAAACAAGGGTAGACATATTTCTAGTTTAACTGCCTGAAGATTTTCTCTATGGTTTATACGTAACTCTCCACCTATTATCTCATTTTTGTACATGTTCTGGGAGAACTCAACTTGCTCCCTATAAAATGCAACGTCTTCCTGCACAGGTGGTTCTGGTTAAGTGCCAGCCTGCTTCGGGTTTGTAATTAGTTGTTGCAATTTTCTGATTTCGTCGTCCTTTTTCATAATCCAGATTTCGTTTTGGCATTCCAGTTCAGCCATTTGATCCTGAAGCTCTTTTATAGTAGAATCATTATGGCATCCTTATCTGAGATTTTAAATGAGTGGTTGACCTCACGTTGGTTACTCTCGTCCATCAGACTCTTTACGTCATTTCTCAGTTTAGATTCAAGTTCTTTTAGGAAGCCAATTTCATCTTGCAGTTCAGCAATGTGTGACATCGTTACATCAGTTTGTGCAGCAGCACTTAAAGAATGTTGCATATCTTCGTACTCAGCGTCAAGCATAGCTTCTAAGTCTGCAACCTTCTTTTTTGACTCAATATTTTGAGCTTCAAGAGATGGTTAGGGCTCTCTGATCTTCCTAGGTTCTTCAGTTGAGTACGCAGCATCTCTATTTCTGACTCGTATGTTTTTAGTCTTTTATTATTTTTTTCCAGAAAATCGAGTCTGTATTGCAAGTCGATGAAATTCTTGCGCTTTTTGAGAATTTTTTGAACTCTTTCTATTTCTTCGTTGTACGCATCCGTTACTTGGCGGAGTTCCTGACTGTAACGATCGAATTTAGAATTGGCTTCTGTGAGCTGTTTCTTCAGGTCCAAAATCTCCAGCTGATTATCTAGTTTAGTGAATTCTCTAAGCTCATTGAAATTCTTCCAGTTCTTTGAGTTGTCTTTTAAGTACACTTGCACGTCTTCAGCTATCACAGATTCTGCTTCGGCTAGTGCCTCCTCATATGTCTCTTCTTGAATAGGCCTCATTTCACGTCCGGATGATTCTTCTTTGGGTGGATAATTTTTCAATGGCATATACCCTAGGGATGCTTTTTTAGGTGATACGTTGCCATAGTGTCCAAAAGTATGACGTCTTAATGTTTTTTTCGGTGTTGATGCCGAGGCTCCCATTTGAAAGCGCCCGACAATAGATACTTCCGTTTTAGTCTTTCTATCTCGAGCAGATACTCTTGTTTGCTTTTATCCATCTCTTTTAGCTTAATTGCCTGCTTTTTGAGCCGAGTTTCGAGATCGCGAGTCAAGTTCTGATATCCTTGAAGTGTCTCTTCTGTAGCTGACAAGATGTTTACTTTCGTTTTATTTTTGACAGTTTTAGTGCTTTGGGCGAATTCTGGTGTAGATCTAGTCTCCTCCTCTGCAGCTAAAGTAACATTCCCGATAATCATGATTTGGCATTACCGCCAAGAGCCTGTGAGAGCAGTCTAGTCAATTTCGAATCGCGATAACTGATAAACTCCTTCCCCTCGCTTAGTTGCCTTATCACATTTCCTAATACTGACAAAGATTTGTTTATGTTAGCCCCCTCTTTAAGACGCTCACCAGCAGCTTTCGTCAGAGAAACTCTCTCAGAACCAGCTAAGTCCATTAAGTTAAGGTAGCTTATATGTACAGGTCCATCTTTCTGATTGGCATCTTTCGACTCCAGAATAATCCGGAAAATCGTGTGTGATCGAGATGACCTCTCATTCATGGAGTAGCTGCAACTCGTCTGATCTTATTGCCCTGCATCATGTTCTCCATAACTTTATCAACATTGTCTACGACAGCTTCCCTTGCATCAGCAGCACA